AGAATGCAAAGCCCAAACCGACCTTAAACTGTACCTCCGTAACAACACGCGAAGGACCATGTGACCAAACCATTCCTAAAGCTAAATCAACACCTTGTCAACACGACGCGGCGACGGGAGCGAAAAACAAATGTCATCTTCGCAGCCTGAAACCCATAAACCCTATCGGGTGCAGCGGCACCGACGTTCCATGCACACTCACTATTGAAAACGAGAGGGAACGCGAACCGAAGGGGAAAACGCTTCGCGGGAACACGCCCCACCAGCCCCGGCAGCGGCACGGCAGATAGCCTTCTGCCCGCTCGAGCCCGAGCAATGCCGCCCGCCACCGGGTCCCTCCCGCCCTCGGCGCCGCCCCCCACTCGCAGCCCGCGCCCGACGCCGCTCCCCGGGCCCCGCGCGGAGCCACCGCCCCTCGGGGCGCTGCTCCCAGCACCGTGCAGCGCGAGGAGGGCACGCGCGGCGCTCCCGGGGGCTCCGCAGTTCGGCCACGCTGCCCCGGACCGGGCACGGCGCTGCCCGAGAGCAGCGCACAGCGCCAACGAGCGACCTCGGCACGGAAACTTCTGCTGCTGATGCTGCTGCTGCTCCAGGAGGAGCTCCAAACGAGCTCCCCAATACCGAACCGGAGCGAACAGGCACAGAGAAAAGCGAAGCGTCCAAAGCACCCCGGCTTAGAGCTGCCCCTACATCGGGCAGCAAAACGGGAGCCCGCCCCGCTGTGTTCCACGTGAATGGCTCTTCCAGGGTCCCTGACCCTCCGCTCCGCACTTCCAAAGAGGCACCCAGAGCTGCTGTGCCGGAGACACAACAGCGCCCTGCCGCGCTGTCCGCCCGGTTCTGGCTCTGCCCGCTCAGTGCTCACCGCTTCCAACAGCCCAGAATAACCTCAGTAGGAAGCTGAGCAAGGATTTCTCCCCATCCCTGGCGCTCTGGGACCAACTTTTCAATACACCGACGCGTTTATTTCACTCCTTCATAAATGGAGGAGGATTGAATTAACCCTGACATGCGTTTTGTCGACCCCCCCTCAACGCGAGGGATTCACCACCCGCAGACCGTCCGTGTCAGCACTGTGTCACCCTGCGATCCCTGCCCGACAGGACAACCACCGGCATCGGTCCCTGCCCCGCGCACTGGCCCCACGCACACGCGCGCACGCAGCCTCAGCCTCAGCCCTGGATTTGGGCAGCAGCAAAACACCTTTGGATTTTTCCAGCCCGTGCTGGTAGTGCTTCACGAGGTCACCCGGCAACTCCGGGTGACAACACGTGAGTGTTTAACCCGACACATAGAGCGGCCCGACCCAAACACAGGGAGATAACACCCGCCGGCAGCACACACTGCCCGCAACCGATTATTGAGAGGCCTTATACGGGTGATGTCAAAATGAAGAAAACCAGAAGGGTACTCCCCTGCTCAGGATCAGCGGCATTATCACAAATCCATAAAAGCAACCGACTCCCGAACTCTGCCCGATGTTCCCCGATGGAGCCCACGGACAGCCCCTGGTCGGGCCGCCCCGCTCTACCCCCGCGGTGCTTCGGGGAGCGACGGGACGGGGCTTCCCGCGGGGGCTCCGAGTCCTCGCCCTGCAGCCAGGGAACAGCCGGGACAGAGAGGAAAAGGACCCGTCCTTTAAGCAGCCGCCGTGGCCCCGCGTTAACTCCGCAGCGTGTCCCCCGGAACCGGCCCGAGGTGCTCGCTGTACGTCGGGGACGGCCGGGGCAGCGCTCGGCACGGCGCGAGGCTGCAGCCCCCATCCCGGGGACGGCCCCCCGGGGCTGCTCGGAACGCTTGGGGCTCGCAGCGGTGCTCCCAGCATTTCCCGACCGGGAACGGGCACACAGCCGGCCGGGTCCCCGAGCCTCGTGGGGAGCGGAGCAGCAAGCAAAGTTTCTAAAAGCTGAAAAGCGTCTCTCCGACTTCCACAGAAACGCGCTTTTTTTTTTCCCCTTTATTTTTACCTGATTTTTCGCAAATATTGACAACGCCCCACGGCCCCTGCCCGCATGTATTTTTCGCCAGGCCACGCACCCGCACACACCTCCACAGCCGTCCGTCCGCGGCCGTCGGGGGCCCCACGCGCGGCGCTGCACCCGGCGGGGCTGCACGCGTGGTCCCCTCCGGGGCCCGAGAGAAGGAACCCTCGATCGAGCGCGGTCCCGTCCGCCCCTCCGTCCCTCTGCTCCGGGGCTCCGCACCCCGCACACCACTCCGAAGCCCACACTTAAAACCACAATCTCAACCCAAAACTACGGAAAAAAAAAGGAAAAAGAGAAAAAAAAGTTCGGTCCCGGCGCTGCCCCCCCCGCCGCCCCTCGCAGCGGGGTTACCCCAAACTTCGCCGTTTGCTGCACGGCCGGGAGAGAGGCGCCGGGAGCAGCCGGGGACCGCCATCTTACCGCCGCCCGCTCTGCCCCGCCGCTCGCCCAACTTAAGTTAATAACACTCGGTGCGGGGCGGCCCGCAGCCTAACAGCCCCCGCGCGGGGACCGCCGCCCCCCAACGGCCCCGTCCCTATAAAACGACCGCGCTCGGGGGCCCCTTCGCCCCCCCCGGCCGCGTTGATCGCTGAGAGCCCCGCGCTCGCTCGACCCGGGCGGCTCCGCGCTTCGCGATCGTCCCCGTTCCGTCAAAATCTGCCTTTAAACAAAGGGCGCCGGGGCCGGGCCGGCAGCGGGGGCCGCAAATACAAATATTCTCCTCGGGGGCCGTGCTCGCCCGAAGCCGCTCGGGGGCTCGGGGGGGAAGAAAGGAACTAAAATCGGGCGCCGTGGGCGCGTAACGAAAGCGGCCGCCCGGGCCGCCGCCGCCGCCGCCGTGTGTGTGTGTGCGCGCGTGCGGCGGGCGCGGGGCTGTCAGCGCCGCTCCGTACCGCGCCGAGCGGGGACGCCCCGCGCCCGCCGCCCCCCGGCGCCCCCCGCCCGCCCGGGGCCACCCCGCCGCATACGTACCCGGAAAAGGGAGCCGGCGGGCGACGATCGGGGCGGCCGAAAAAGACAATGAAAGTTAAAAGTCGTTCAGCAGAAAATGAATGTGAGCCAAGCGGCCATCTTGAAATGAACTGCAGACGCTGTCAATCGCGAGGAGCGCACCAACGCCGCCGCCGCGGCGCTCCGCTCATGCCGCCCGCGGGACCGCCGTGTCCGCGCCGCTCCGCCGACCCTCGGCGCTCCCTCGGCGCCGCGCGGGGCCGCGCCGGGCTCAGCCGGCCGGGGGCCGCCCGCTCCGGCCCATTGTCTCGCCCGCTCCCCCCCGCTCCGCCGCCCGCTCGCCGTTTTTTTTTTTTTTTTATTATGATTATTTCATAGTTGGTGGCGGGGGGACGAGGGAGGGAGGGCGGAGGAGGGAAAAACGCGAGGCTGAAGGCACACACTGGAAACTGACACCGTCCCCAAAATGGCTCGGAGTTCGCCCGCCCCGCCAGCGTCACGTGGGGCTCCTCATTCCTTAAGGGTGGCCTGGGAATTAGCGGCGGTGCGGCCGGGGCCGGCCGCCTCCCCGTGACCCAATCCCGCACCCGGCCGCCTCCCCCCCGCCCCCCGCCCCCCTTCTCCTCCCCTGCTTCCCCCCGCCCCCCCCGCCGCCCCCTCCCCTCCCCCCGGCCCTGCACGCGCCCGCCCGCGCGCCGCCGATGCCTCCTTTTCGCCACCGCCCCCCCCCCCCCCCCCGCCCCCCCCCCCCCCCCCTCCTCCCCCGCGGCCACGCGCGTCCACCCCCCCCTTCGGGGCCCCCCACGCCGCACTTGTTGCGTGGCCCTTCCGCGCCCACGCGTGGGGCAGCGCCGCGCGGGGCCCCTCGGGGGCGGGTGGAAGCGGCAGAGCCCCGCAGCGCGGAGCGGGGCTGCGCCGCGGCCGAGCCGCTGCCCTCCGTCGGGGCCCCTCCGCGCCTCCCCGGGGGGGCGGACCGACCCGACCCGTCCCGCGGCGCCCGCGCTCCCCCCGGCGGCAGGTGCGGGTGGGGGGCATCGCCGGGCGCGAAGTAGGGGGAAAGCCGCCGTCGGGCTCCGGGATCGGCCCAAGAGGAACGCGGAGCGGCCGTCGGCGTGTGGTGCCCCGGGAGGAGGCAGGGCTCAACCGCGGCCCGCGCCGACACGGCGCCCTCGGGTGTGGGGAGCTGCGTCCAGTCGGTACGAGAAGGGAAAATCGTCTTTAATGGAAAATGCACAGCACAAAAGAGGAGGGATGCTCTGCAGACACAACGGTTGAGGCAGTATTTAACTGAAGCGTTAATTTTCAAGACAATATAACAGGAGTGAGGAATACCGACTGCATATTCCATGCCAACAGCTTGCTTAATTCACATCTAGAAATCACTACAAAATGGTTTGGATCAAGAGATGTACATTGAGATGTGCACAGAAGGGTGTTTGCCATTGGGAATGTTCTCACGCAGTGCCCAGCTGCCCTCGGTCACAGCTGTGTTGCTCTCTCCAGGCTCTTGGCAGCGTCCTTCAGCTTCCCGACCAAATCCTGGGAGAGGGAACACCTCAGAATGAATTTCGGAAAGGTCAGCACGTGGTGCCACAGTGCCCTCTGTGCATAGCAGGATGGGATATCCTGGAGCTCACCCTCGTCCATTGGACAACACAAGCAAATCATTCCATTTCTTACACTTTTTCTGCTGTAAAATAGGGTGGTACACTGGAACTGAAGGACAATGCCTTGTAATATATATGACCTACTAACATACATTGCTGTCCTTAGCACATCAGTACAGCTGCAATGGCTGCTGCACATCGCTGCTCTGAGCACCGTAAGCACTTCTTCCACCCTGAAAATACCCTAAGTACCATTCTGCACAGGGACTACACCATGTGCCAGTCCTGCCCGGGGCAGCCATCAACCCAAACATGGGCACTGGCAAAGATGCCTCCCAGTGCCTCCAGTTCCCTCCCTTTTGCACAGGCACATAACTACAGCACAGAGCAGAGCTCAATGTTTGCTTCATCACACTGCTGGTGTGTCACCTACACACTGACACTGGCTTCAGTTCATTCCCTACTTGGGAGCATGACATGTCATTCAGCTGCTTCCTTCAGCAGCTTTTCTGAACCACTGGGACAAGGGTTTTGGGGAAGTGATGCATTCCTTCCCAAACATATGTGTGACAGCACACCCACTATCTATGCGTGTACAGAAAGCAGCACTTGCCACTGAAATCAGTCACTTTACAACTTCAATTAAGACCATGACTAGAAGTGTAGCACAGCAAATTCTCCCCTCCTGCCTGTTGTTTTTGGTTTGGTTGGTTGGTGGCTTTTTTTTTTGTTTGTTTGTTTTTTGGTTTTTTTTTTTTTTTTTTTTTTTTTGGTGGTTTTTTTTTTTTAATAATTATTTGTGCCATCTAATTGTGACTGAAAAAGTGCTAGAGACATTGCCATCCAGAGCGGGAGCCAGGCAGAAAAACAGGGAGGAAGCAGGGGTACCTGCAGCTGCTCCATGGTGCAGCTGAAGCTGAGGTCTGGCTGTGATCCCACATCACTGTTCTGTAGGAAACAAAACCGAAGCAGGCTGCTTTACTGCAAAATGACATAAATGGCACTGAGAGGGGTGTGAGGAGCACATACCTCAGTGCTGAGGGTCAGCAGGTAGGTGGGCTGGTAGGCTCGGTGAAGCTCATGGGTCTGTGGCAGAACAGTGCTCAGCACAGCAGGGCCAGGGCAGCGGGGGGGTCCCACAACCCTGTGCCCCTGCCCTTACCTGGATGCGGTATGCTAGGCGCCAGGACACATCTGTCACATGTGGGGGGGCCCGGCCTATGCTGGGAGAGAGACAGCAGCAGGCGGTGTGGGAAGGGCTGAGACCACACTGCCTGTCTGCGGCACGCAACGCTGCTGCAATGGGTTACAGAGACTTAAAGGGCAATACGGAAAGGAGGGGGACAAGTTTCTATAGCTGTTTTATAAAGTTTGTTAGAAATGCAACAAAAAATGGTAATTAAAAAAAAAATAAAGCATTACTGTTGACGTGGATGAGGGGAAGTGTGCCTGGTGCTCCCCAGGCAGTGCTGGAGCAGCCCCTACTGCGGCCCTGTGCCCACTTACCTCCCCAGCAGCTCCTCCAGTGCCTCCCGGTTTTTCTGGAGAAAAGGAAAAAAAAAGAAAGGCGAGAGCAAAATACATTTGCAAATTTGAAACGATTGCTCCAGAAGAAAGAAAACGCCGACATGTTACAGAAGGGTGCCAGACCTGGTACTCGGTGCAGAACTGCTCGATCCGCTCCCTGTCCAGCTTGCACTCCTCCAGGCACGCGCTGCAGGAGGACACACGGCCATGGGCGACCCCCAACACACACACAGAACCCCGCCAGCCCCGGCGCCGTGCGGCGGCGTTGCCGGGGCCGTGGCGGGCGGTATCAGTACCTGAGGGCCGCTCGGTCGGCTCTCTGCCTGCCCGCCTCCAGGATGCAGGCGGCGGCGGCGGCGTGGCACTGCTTCAGCACCGCGGGGTCAACGTCGCTCAGCTCGGGGTCGGCTGCGGGAGACGCGGGGCTGCCGACACCGCCGCTCGCCCGCGGGACGGCGCTTCTGCCCCGCGCCGCACGCACCATCCCGCGACCCGAAGCCGCGTCCCGCCCGGCTCCGCTCCTCTGATCGGGGTCGCGGGCAGCAGCGGCTCCCCCCAGCCCCGAGCCCGACCCTGGGAGAAACGCGAAGGGGCGCGGGCACGGACGCGGCGAAAGCTTCAGCGGGCGGAGGAGCGGAGCGGCCGCGGGAGGGGTCCGGCCGGTGGGGACGGCCCGGGACCGCCGGTGGCGCGGTACGCGCGTGCCCGCGTGCACGCACGAGCACCTATGTGCACGCACAACCCCGTGTGCGCACCTACGTGCATACATACCCCTACGTGCATGCCCAGACCCATGTGCAAGCACACCTTCATGTGTGCGCACATACACCTGTATGCGTGCACGTTCCTCTATGTGCACGCACTAACATCTCTAAGTATGCACACCCCGATGTGGACGCACACACGCATGCACGTGGCTCTGTATACACGCACACCCGCACGTGCACGCAGACAGCCCCATGTGCACGTACATACACCCACACGCATGCACGGACACTCACGTGCACGGACATCCCCACGCGCGCACAGACGCCGGTACGCACGGACACCCCGACTGCACGCGCACCCGCAGGCACACACGCACCCCTAACCCCGGCAGGCGTCACGCAGGCGGCCCCGCCGCCCCATGCAGAGCCCCGCCGCCCGCTCCCGCTCACCCACGCCGCCGTGGGGCTGCAGCACGCCTCGGAAGGCGGCGCGGAGCAGCGCGGAGTAGGCGCGGCGGGACAGGCGCCGGGGGTCGCCCAGCAGCCGGCAGCCGCCCTGAGCGTACGCCGACAGCTCCATTGCGGCGCCGTGACCTTCGACACGCGCCCACGTGACCGCCGCCGCTGAGGCGGAGCCGTCGCGGCTGCGCCACCGGCGGGAGGAGGCGCCGACGGGCGGGGAGCTGAGCCCGAGCGCCGAGCGCAGAGCGCTGAGCGCCGAGCGTTCTCCTGGCGGCGCCTCCTCCCGCCCGGGGCGGCGGCGGCGGGCGCGCGGTCGGGCGGCGTGTTGCGGAGATCGGACGCGGCGAAGGGAGACGCCGGCCGGCCGCAGGCAAACGTGGCCAAATCCGTGCAGCGTAAATACGGTGTGCCCTTTGTGGTGTTCAAGCGCTCCCGTTCCGCACCTCGGCTGCCCCGCTCGGTGCGTGCTGTTTGTTACCCCTCGGCGCCGAGGCGGGGGGCAGTCCCATTTCGGACGGGGGTTCTCTGTCAGTAGGTGAAAACGTGAATTTCCAAGCTCGGCTCTCAGCCGCGCTCGGGCGGAGAAGAGGAAATCCCGGCGCCCGCAGGATCGGGCCCGCGGTTCCGAGGCGCGCCCCACGTGTGTCCGCCTTAGGCCTCGCGGCACCACCAGGCGAACGGCTCCGTTCGGTGCGCGCTGCGCTGCCGCCGCGCTGTTCCGACGCTTCGGCGTACCGATGAGCGCCTCTGCGTCCGTGGACGAAGCGCCGAGCCCGGCGGACGGCGTTCCGGGGATTTGCATTTTGCCAGGAACCGGGAAGGCGCGACGGCGGCAAGGTGGGCTCGGGAGCGGCCGTCCTCCGTCCCGTGGCACCGCTGTCACATAGAGACACAACACGTAAGAAAAGACATAAAATGGAGGAGAAGAAAAACCATAAAATGGAGGAGAGGACAAAGCTCAGAGCCGTGGATTTACAAAGGTGCAGAGACCACGGCTGTGAAACAGGATCGTAATAAAAAAACGTCAGAAATGTGCACGCGTGGGGCATGGCTGCACGCCACGGAAATCTCCTCCCTCATCATCGACAGCGTGTGGAAATCTATGAATTAAAATCTAGCTTCAAAGACAAATTAATCTGTTAAGGATTCCTCACAGCACGGCACAGTCCGCATCAGTCCTTTCAATAATTTTCTTCAGCAGATCTGTGCTTTCACTTCCCCTGCCGCACCTCCCAGCAAGATCTCTTCTCCCCTTTCCCCCCCTCCAAAGGGAACACGATGCATTCACACAGGCTGAGCAGATTTCACCACTCGTGCACAGTGTTTGCACCTTCTAAACTCTGTTCATTATAATTTCTAAGAGGAAGGGAATGTATATCAAATAAAGAAACTCCAAAGGAAATTCATTAATACTTGAATATTAATTAATCAGTGAAACAAACCACCCTGGTCTGTGCAGGCTGCTGTTTCCCCAGCTTGTTCTTCATTGCTCAGAAGAAAATAAAGCAGCTGTCCAAAGTGAAGGGAAATCATTTTGTGTGTCAGGAAATTTTAATTCTTAAAATTTCAGAATTGCCATAAGTGTTTCTGAAAACTCCCAGAGCTGCACTTTTTTTCCTGTATATTGGTTTTTGCAGAGTTAGAAGATGGTAACATAAGATGGTGTTTCTAGCACTTATTTTGTACAAAATCGTTACTGACTTCAAGGAGTTTCAGCTCCAGAGCAATGGGCTGTCCCCAGAACCTTTGGTTTAGGTCAGCAGTGAGCCTACTTTATTATAATATATGGATTCTACAAAGAAAAAAAATGTTTCAATCAGAGAAACACATTAAGTAACTATTTACTACAGGTTGTATTTCTTGCGGGATTGATTTCTGAAGGAACAACTCAACAGTCACATTTCAGTCCCTGATAGTATCATAGCATCAGAGAAAAGGACCACACAGACCCAAAAGGCCCAGGAGAATTCCTTACGTGTCTCTGGTACCAACGTGCAAGGCAGCAAAGAAGCTCCTGCTCTGAGCCAAGCCCTAGTGAGGTCCATTTCTTTGGTGCAGTCCTTGTAGGCAGCCCTCCTGCCCAGGGAAAGTGCAGTGCTTAGCATAGCCTTCCAGGAAGATGTTATGCTCCCAGGTTTGTCTTGCATGTCTGAATTGCAGGCAGTGCCTTGTTTGGCTGCAGACAGGGACTGCTCAATAAAACATTCGGTGTTTGCTCACAAATAGTTCTGATTTAAGTGAGGAGTTCAGGAAATTAACTTTTTAATTAAATATGTGAAGGAGCTTAATTCATTTCGGTAAGGCAAAACCCATAGAAGCTGAATATGGTTTTGATCAGGAATTTAATATCTCTGATTTTAAGTTCAACCTGAAAAACATTTTTGCTGCTAGGTGGCATTTTTGGAATTTAAGTGACATTAATTTAGGGAAAATAAATCAAGAAGGGTTTCTCCATTTATCTTTTGATTTTCTTCTCTCTGACTTGGTGCTGCCTTCTCTTTGTCCAAACTTCAAATCTCCTATAAAAAGAGATATCTCTCTATAAAAAATATATATCTTTTTAAAGGAACTGTCAGCTTTCACATTTAAATTATAGGCTCGCTTAAATTCTACACTTTTGAGCTGTTAATGTTTCATTCCTTCTTTAAGTGCTTAGCAGCAGAGATGAGCAGAGAAGAGCTGCTTGTTCCTCACTTTGTAGCTCCCCTGATTTCTAACAGTATGGAGAAATCTCGCCTGTTAGAAAAGTCCCTTTATTTACAGAATGCGTATCAGATTGAACTCTCAAAAATATATTTGAATTTGTATTTTATATATCAAACAGAAATGAATCACAAGGAGAATTTCTATGTTATCTAAGATTGCATCAAAAGTAAGTAATAAAATGGTGCAGTGGTTTGGATGTGTAAGCAAGCATCACCACCATGTGCTGGGCAATGCATCCTCGGGGAGAGCAGCTTTGTCCTTTTGTGCATTTTAACACATCCTAGCATCCTACTAATTAAGGAAATTACTGCATTTGCTGAATTGTCAGTCGTTCCCTTTCTCCCACAGAGAAACAGAGCTCCACAGTTATAACACATTTGCTCCTTCACAAGACAGAGCTCCCTGTCCCAGGCCAAATTCAAAGGTTTGCAGTCGAGGCCTACGTGAAAGGTGCTCACCTTTAGTGCCGAATGCAGAACCAAAAAGATCCCCGCTGCTTCTGCCAACCGCAGCGCGGTTCCCTGTCTGCTCCCGTGTCACAGACACGTGTAGTTTGTCATACTCACAAAAATGCTGGGAACGCTGCTGAATGTTGATATGGGTAGATTGTCTTTGTAAGCAACATTTCTTGGCAGTGGATTTCACCCTGACGCTTTTGCTGCCTTTCAAAGGCTCTGACATAATTTACAGACACTTCAAAGTTGTGCTCCTGCTCCTGCTGCTCAGGCACACTTGGGTACGGGCGTCACGCGCTGCGCTCAAACCCTTTACATTTCACCTTATTTTTTTGGAATTTATTGAGAAATGTGTAGTCTGCCTGGTCCTCCAAACAGGAAACCAAATCCGTTTGGAATTTGTCAGTGTTTCAAGTCAGACTTTTTTGCATGTTGATGCAGTCAGCGGTGGGATCGCAGCCTTGCTGTTGGAAGCCTGTGAGGAGGATATTATGCTCTATTGTCAGGAAGCATTCACAGTCTGTCACATTAGTGCTGGAGATGTGTATAGAAGAGTAATTATTATAAGCTGACATCCAGCAAAGGAAGTAAAAACAGATAAACCTCAAAGGAAAATTAGGCTGGATGGTTCAGGTTCTGTTTGTCTCCAGATGCTTAATGTCAGGGCACGGAAACATAATTTAGCACAGCACCTAGTTGGGAAAATAATTTTGTGCTTATGTAACAAATAGAAATGTGTTTTTTCTTGTAGCTCTGCGTTTTGTTAGCTTCTCACCAAGGCAGGTCCATACAGAAATACAATCAGCGAGCAATCAGAAACCCAGTATTTAAAGAGCTGCATGCTGTAACACCTTTAATTCTGTTTATATGGTTCAGCAGTATCAAGCCGTAGAAGTATTTAAATGTAGGAACGTGATGGGCTGTTGTCATAGAAAGAAGGAGATGGAACAGATAGCACAGTGACAGCAAGCACTACATGGCATTCTTTCTCTAGAATTAATCCTGCTGTTTCATGGAAATGTTTGATTCTGATCGTAGCGCAAGGCTTGTGTGCCAAAATGATAGATGCCTCGAAAGAAGCTTTGCTAAATAAAATCCTGCAGAGCTTGGCATTCACAGTTCCCTTTTGGCAATAGTGAGGAATGGCTGAGTAATATTTAGGAAATTGAGTTATTTAAGATGGGGTTATTGCATCCAAAGGCACTAGGGCTAGATCTGCAGCTAGTGTAAATCAGCATATCTCCCTCCATACTCTGTGTATTGCTTTGTGTCAGCAGAGAATCTGGCCCATATCCATTATCTAGAGGGAATATCAACTACTACAAAGCATACTTATCTAACCAAAAGCAAACGTAGTCTGCGTAGCTCATTGATGTTTCTTGTAACACTTGTGTTAACCTTTATAATGTGATAAAAATCTGGCACAGCTATGTACGGTTACAAATCATTTGGGTTTGATAGTATCAACAATTATAAATTAGCATGTATCACTTTTAATACTGCTTCAAATTACATTGATAAAAGCTTAGCTCGATATTGATGAGAAGACAAATAATTGGGGATCTCTCTGTCTCTAATTAATGTTACTGAGGGCAGAATTGGGCCTCTCTGACACAGATCTGTCTGTCAAAGCAGTATGTAGTTGTTTTTTGGTTTTTTTTAAATACAGTGTATTTTTTGTGTTCTCATTTGGTGAACGTAATCCCTGTCTAACATTTTACAGAGCCACAGGGTTTAGCTGCCTGGAATTTACATTCAAACAAGTAAAATCAACCCAGTATGATCTGTATGTTCAGCTCAATGCACGTGCCTGCAGAGCCTCAGATGCAAGTTTTAGTATAAAAACCTGCCCTGCGAGAATCAGAGCAACACGACCAACTCTGCCTTCTGCTTCATTTGCTTGGCTCAGCTGATGAAAGGGGGCAGTTTACTAATTATTTACATTCTGAGCAGTAAA